CTTAAGATTTCAAGTGCGGTCCCCGGTTGCAATACAAGCTTCAATGGAACTGAAGTGTTTTATCGCAGGGCCATTTTCTCCTTTTTAATTCAATTAATTCGTACATCTAAATATCTCCTACGCTCGAGCGCACAAAACAGTGTTAGTGTGTGTACGCGTGAGTGCGTGCGTGCTTGTGCGTGTGTGTGTGTGTGTGAGTGTGTGTGTGTGTGTGTGTGTGTGTGTGTGTGTGTGTGTGTGTGTGTGTGTGTGCGCGTGTGTGTTTTATGTGTGCGCGTACTCGAGCACACGCGCACACAATTAGCATAATAACTCAACAAAAAGAGCTTATACTGATAAAAACAAAAACAAAGCCAATAAATATACTCAATCGATTCTACAGCTGCTTGAGACATAGAAGAATCATTCAAAGCCTCTCACTAGGGGCCGAGCTGTCTAAGATTTTTAAGCACAATTCTATGGCAAACCTTCAAGAGACAGACTTCAAAGCCATCCCACAGGCGTACACAAACTCCTTCTGACCAGGCAGAACATGACAAGAACCCTTCTTCTTTTTTTTTTCTCCTTAAATAAATTTATTGACATAATCTTTTTTTTGCAAGTGAGAAGGGCCATTTTTTGCAGTGTTTTAAAACATGTATTTACTTCATTTTATAGGAACGTTTTACGGCACTTGCAACACAATTAGGTCAAATAAGTGCTGAAGATTAGAGGTTGCAAGGGTGGGAGGGGGGGGGGACCCGATCACACTGCCAGTGCCGGTCGTATTGAGAGAGTAAACACATTCCCTTCACAAAAAATGCTATTATGCATTTACTGTACAAGGCACTTGCTTATTTTTCAAAAGTGTCCAGTTCCCATGAAATGAAAAAAACCAACAAAAAAAACCCAGCAACAACTAAAAACAAAAAAACTCCAGTTGTTCCTTCGATTAGAAGTGCTACAAGAGAGTAACAAACACAAAAAAGAAGGAGGGGAGATAAAGACGATAGATGTTTGATAGGAAAGAAGAAGCAAACCACACGAGAGCACCCACCAACCACCCACGAAGAAGAAGAAGAAGAGACAAGACGTGCCAAGAAAAAAAGAGCGTGAGAAGACGAGGCCGATATTGGGACACCTGTGGAGACTTTGGTGTTAGTCATTTCACACATCTAGTAGTAGTAGCCTTGACACACGCACAGTATACAGGCACCTATTCTTCCAAAAACAAGAATTTCACCAAAGTAGCTTCTTCTTTTTTTTTTTTTAGCTCACTGTTTATGTTCAAACCCGTTTCAACACTATAAGGCTATTTGAGAGGCGGGGCAACATTATAATATTTAACTAACTGATTTCTTTTGCAGTAAACATCTGAAAATTATTTTTTTAAAATTAATAAATAATTAAATAGATATAAAAACACTTGCCCCCTCCCAAAAAATGAATAAATAGAAAAAAAAAATAAACGGTAAAGATCTATTCTCAAACCCTTGGACAAATAATATGAAGGCAAAAAAACTATAACAAGACTGAGAAACAAGGTTTGTGCAGGTGTCTGAATCTAACTTAACACTCTGCTTGACATTAACAAGGGAAATTCGAGTTTGGGGGGGGGGGGGGGGAACGAATAAAACTGTGACTTTGTTCGTTTGTTTGTTTGAGTAAAGAGAAAGTTTGTTAGTGTTAGAGCGCTTAATCAGCTGCTTGCACTGTATGCTTCCCGGGAAGATGAGAATGTTTCTGGGTTTTCAAGGGTCTGCTGGGGCAATAATATAGTGCAAAGCGCAGAGAGCTTGCTGCTGAGCGGGGATAGGCGCTATACATATGCTTTTTATTATTATTATTAAGCATATCGACACAATAACAATTATTTTGGGCTGGGAAAAAGCAAGAAACAAAGTCAGATAGATAGACAAGCAGAAACAACAGAGGGGAAGTAAAAACAAGTTGGACCTACCAGGGGTGCCCTTCAACCACCTCCAACCATCTGCGCTTGCTTACTTAAAG